ACTGGTATTTCACCCGCAGTCGCACTCCTTGGCCGTCGACTTCGCGGCCGTCTAGACGCACTGCGCCCTAACAGTGCTGATGTAGTACGCGAGGCACAAGACAAGCAGGTAGCAGCCACTGGGGGGCAGCAGCTCCGCCTTGCACCTGGTGAGGTCGTTTTTGCTCGCGACTATTCTAAGACGGGTAATAAATGGGCAAAAGGTTGCATTACGGAAATGACAGGGCCCGTTTCATGTAAAGTAAAAGTCGGTGAGGCCACCGAATGGCGTCGGCATTACGATCAAGTTATCCCTCTTAAAAAGCGTTACTCCCTATCGCGTGCGAGTATGCAGAGAACGGATAAACCAACTGAGGGGTCTGACGGTTCTGAAGCGGAACCAGAAAATGTGTCAGGGAGTGGTGATAAGGACGGAGCTCAATGCGAAAAAATAATTAATGACGATTTTGAGAACGCGTTGGAAGGCGTAACGCAAGCTCAGCCAGAACCGCGCCTCTCCCTACCCCCAGACGCATCAGAGCGAGCTAGGCGAGCTCATAAAAGAGATAAAATTAATAGAAAAAGACATGATTGTTAATATTATAATTTCTATGCACTTTTATTATCTTGTAATTTGGTGGTGGGATGTGTAAGGTATTTGTATTGTTTATAAGGCGGTAGTTTTTAATAAATCAGTTAGCATCCAACCGTGGTTTCATTACGTAGCAATATATAATATACTAGCCGTGCCCCGCGGTTTCACCCGCGTTTTTCTCGTTTCCGTGGAAATACCGAGATGAAATATATAGGTACCAACTCTTAACATCCTTACACACGTGATAACTTTTAAACGAAATATCCGATTGAGATGAAACAAAAAGTATTTTACTTCTACATAAATACTCTTGATAACATAATGCTTCATTTCGATAAAAATTAATATTACGATACATATTTAACGTAGTTTTTTCTTTAGACGATTTAATAATTATTTTGAACACAAAATCGGTTATTGTGATTAAACCATGATAGCTAGATATATGTTCTTGAGGACTTTTTTGTAGGTCTTAATGGGATCTACAAACCCGTAGTAAATCATTTTTTTCTATTGTCAATAGTTTTTGCAGCGCACGTAAAAATAGGTTTTCGATTTTACATCTTGTGTTACAAAATAGCAATTTTATTACGAATCCCTAATTTTGAAAAAATAGATATAGCCTATAGCCTTCCTCGATAAATGGACTACCCAAAACTGAAAGAATCATTCAAATCGGACCAGTAGTTCCAGAGATTAGCGCGTTCAAACAAACAAACAAACTCTGCAGCTTTGTAATATTAGTATAGATATATATATATACATACAGTCGAACACAGAACCTCCTCCTTCTTTGAAGTCGGTTAAGAAAATAAGTTATGCAGATTCTAATAAGTAATAACATTGTCCTTTCAGAGAACTGTGACATTACACCAACGGAACTTATGATGCATGCATACAACACCCACATAAAGTTATTATTGAGCAGATAAGAACATGTTGTGGTCGATAGTCGCTGGTACGTTGAATAAAATTGTGATGAAGGGGAATTTGTGAGTGGCTAAACACAGATTAGAATAGGCTTATTGACAAGTTTTTGAAAACGTTCATATTGAGCAGCTGGCGAACAAAACGATATATTTACATAAAATTATATTTGACAGGAGCTGTATAAAATTGAATGTACTGTAGTATAATGTAGAATCTAGAAATAGAAAGAATGTAGTGTAATGTAGAATCGTACTGCAAAAGAGAGCTGTTCGCGCCATATATAATTTAAAGGCAAGATAATCTCTTAGAGAAAAATTTAAAGAAATTAATATTTTAACACTGGCATCGCAATACATTTATGAAAATATAATATATGTAAGAAAAAACTATGACGCATTTGCAAAAAAAAGTCAGACCCATAACTTTAACACGAGATTTAAGAACAGGCTTGCCGTTCCATGTTTCAGACTCCAAAAATGAAGAGGTTCATTTCTGGGATGAAGTATTGCATTGTTTTACAAAGTTCCCCAAGATCTTATTGAGCTTCCACTAACTAAATTTAAATCTCATATCAAGAATTCTCTCATGAAAAAGGACTATTATAAAGTTAATGATTATCTAAATGATCGTAATGCATGGGCATAGTGTTTCTTGTAATTTGTTATTTGATGGGTATTAGTCAGTTTTTGTAACGGTAATATGGTACCTATCTAATGCCGCTTCCTATATACTAAATTTATTGTTACTATATATATATCTATATCCTAAATGATGTTATGGAAGGTGACTTCTGAAGTCTCTCTGCAATCATTTTTCAACTTGACGACTCTGTATATATCAATACAGGGAGAAAAAAGCAGCCCTTGCTGAGTTTCTCGCCGGTTCTTCTCAGTACAAGGTCTCTCGCCGTAGTTTTGCGAACCGATGGTGTAAGCTTTTGACCTTCACAAGTGCTTGTAACAGCCTAGAGTGAATAAATAACTTTTCATTTCATTTTATTTGAATGACTGTACCTCCAGTGAGCTTTTGGCATGGTTTTTAATTTACAAATTTAGTAATTTTAACACCGTTTTAGGCGGTTTTGATTGACAATTATTTAAGATTCAAATTCAACGCGCCCGAAACTAAAAAAATAGTAGTTTGACTAGATGCGTAATTATACCGTTTTGTTCGCCAGCTCTCATGTTATTTATTAGTGGACACGGACTCCATAATAAGTGGATATTTATAATTCTATTATCAGGGCCGCAATAGCATAATGGTCAGTGCATTCGCCCTGAACCTGAGGGTTCGAATCCCGTCTGCTGCCTGGATTTTCTTTTAGTAATATTTTCTTTAGTTTTAAACATCGAGCAGTTACATGCTTAAAAAAAGGAAATTATAATGTCTATTTTAGATCTGTTCGCGTCAATACCCTAAAATTAAACTGTTTTAAAACTTATTGGGAATACCAAGTTATAAAGTGTTTTACATGTCTCTAAAGACCATTGTTTGTAGATTTTAGAGCAATTAAATAATGTACCTAGTCTTTATGATTACATTTCTATGGAATTACATATAACTGAATAGTTAGACATATGGTATCGCGGATTTTTTTGTAGATATTGATGTCTTCTATAAAAAAATAGTAATACACTTTGCTCTATTGTCAATGAGTTCCGCAGCGTACGCGATATAAGGTTATTTTTTGGTAATTTTTCACACCTCGCGTTAGATTATTCGAAGTTTCCATACGGAACTCTAACTTTTTTGAATCTATGTTCATCGGGTATAATGTAGGATTCCAAATTTAAAATATTTTTTTAAATCTCTTCAGTACTGCCAGAGCCTATTTAATACAAATAAAAAAAAACATTTCTCAAAAAAAAATCCAATCGAATCAAACCGAAATCAAAAAGATTGGATTTTGTTTTTTTTTCTTATCTTCATGACATAAGTATACAGTAACGGCCGCTCGCGACGTCGCGTCGGTCGGCCTCGTCCATGTTAAATCCCTCTGGAAGCTAATATTTTTCTGAGATAAAAAGGATCCTATTATGCGATTCAAATAAGAATAGGAAAGCCAATGACCTCTATCTGTCAATTGTCGCTTGATAAGTACGGTTTGCAAAAAAAATCTTGTAACCCTTTTAAGCACTCCGCTAATTCAAGAATAAAAACCAAGCATTCGTCAACAAACAATAACAAATATTGATACTTATTGAGCTTTGGCCATGAATGGTTGCTAACCTAAATCGTCAACCAAATGTCACTTTAAGTTGCGTTCAGAAACTCAATTTCAAACTTTCGTTTACTTAAAGGATGCATGTTCGTATGAGACCTAGTAATAGTGCATAATTATTCATAACCGCCGGAATACGGCGGTAATGCAGAGATGAGCAGAATAGAAGAGCTAAATAAATAAATATTATTAAAAATCGGTGGTTTTTGTTTTCTCAATCTCAGTAAATGAAATGTTATTAAAAAAATCTGATGCTTTTTGTCACTTAATCTTAGTAAATAAGTTTTATTAAATAAAAACGTTTTTGGCTCACTCTACCTATTTGGTTTGAATTGACAGCTATAACATCACAATATGGCGTCCAGTCGGTCCTATTCTTAGTTGAATCGCATTATATGTATCTATCATTCCAGGTCATAAACTAGGTATATGAGTACCAAATTTCAGCCAAATTTCAGCCCAATTTCAACCAAATTTGATACAAATTTCAACCAAATTTCATACAAATTTCAGTCAAATTTCATACAAATTTCAGTCAAATTTCATACAAATTTCAGCCAAATTTCATAAAAAATTCAGCCAAAATTCATACAAATTTCAGCCAAATTTCATACGTTCAGCTGTTTTGCGTGACTGAGTAACAAAAACAAAAACTTACAAAAATAGTAGAATCAAAGTCATAGCTTAGTGCTTTGTTAAGTTATTTTCCATAGCTTTTTGAATAATTAATTTTTAGATGTTTACGAATCCGCCTTGTCCGTGGATAGACTTTTAATTGTTTAAAATTTCGGTTGGAAACAATATAATATTGAACTAAACTATTTATTTGTTATTTTATCTTGAAATTACTATCGCAATGGGAGTGGTAGCAATTTTCACTAATTAAAACTTAACAATTAAAACTTGTCCCTGAGTGTGATCAGCTGATTTGCGGAAAGATTACGATCCGTATAGGTAATGTTTGTTCTAGAAAATTAAACGAATGCTTTGTTTGCATGTCATAGAAATTAAAGGGTATTTTAATTAAAATCAACCTTCAAAGTACTTTATGAAAACACCTGGTCAAATAAATAATAATTATTATGAAAAAGAAAAAAAATTGTCAGTAGAAATAATGTTCAGATCTCTCATTAAAATATCTGAATAATAGAATTATTTTAATAACGTGACCCTTAACTTCTCGCAGTGTCATACTTAACGCATAGCTGGAAACATTTTATAATGTTTCGCTTTACATTTATTTAAAGTGGACAGCAACGCCTACTTTCACACAAACCTTTTTACAATAGCGTTATCCTTTTTTCTATAATTTAAACGAATTCAAGATCAGCAATTAAAAAAAAAACACTACACTCAAAGAAGGTTGGTAGGATTTATAAATCGCGCACCACTAACTCGCGACGCTTAAAAATTAAAAAGTTTACGAATTCAAAATGGCCGCGACATTCACGCGCGCTCTGCACCGCGTCTACCGGCTTACTGAATCGCTGCCTTTGTTTGTAAATACGGGTGCTTTTCGCTGCACGATCATAGATAACAGCCTTACTCCAACATACGCAGATAACGCTGTGTTCCTCGACCATGGTCATTTCAATATCAATGTAATACGAATCTATTTAAACAAATCACGCAGTGGACACAGGCTTCAGAGTTACCTTGTTTCTTATGGCTTAGGGCTGCCACGTCACGAATGAATAATTAAATACTGAACAAAAGATTATGGAAAAAAACCAATTACCATTTTCCGAACGCGGAATGTTATAACCGCTTAATGATTTATCGTGCAAATCACTAAGATAAGTCGTAGACATATTATCTAGACACGGTTACATGTGATTATTGCTGCATAATGAAATGCGTAGACTGTTTAGTCTAGTCATATAATTAGCATCACCTACTAGTACACTTTTGACATTGGTTAAGCTTATGATTAAGCTTTAAACCGGAAACAAAGAACAGTTTGTCAGCTATCAACAGCCTTTACTAGGGTAGACTATATTATTATTGACCCTATAAAGCGAAATTCTTCATTTATTTTTCTGTAGAAAATTAATAATTAATTTTCTATTGAATATGGTTCCATAATGCTATGAAATAGAGGTGAAGTATCAAAATTAAACGATTTTAAAATGCTCAATATTAAGAAATGTATTAAATATATTTCAAAATCAACGGATATCGTTTCTAATGTATAATGATTAGCATACCAGAGATTATAAAGAATTGCACAATAAAACTTTGATGATTTGTTGAATTTAAGTTGAAACTCGGCTAAAATACATCTATTCATTCATCATTTTCATCTAGGTATGTAGACGTTATGTTTTACTAATAATGTCGATAAAATGTAACATCAAGTTAGAAAAAATCGTTTTTGAAAACACCTATACCTTAATGACTTCAGTAAAGCTGCCTATTCGTAGCATTTGCACACCGGCGGCAATCAAATTTTCTTATTTATATATTTTTTCTATTTTAATGTTAATGCAAGAGGGCTAATCATTGTGGAAGGCCCAACATTAGTACAGGTTCCCCTATGTAAACGGGATAAGTAAAGGAATTTCATAATATTTTGTTAAAATCTTCCACATAATATTTATAAATAGGACAATAACATAGTAAGATGAGCCCAGCAATCATTGCAAGGATATATTTATATAAATGATTTTATTTAAGTTAACTTCATCGTAAACGTTTAATATAGTTAGTTCATGATAAAATTTTATCAATCCTTCTTTCAATCTTTATCAACAAACAAACAAACTTTCACATTTATATATTAGTAAGATAGTAAGGATTGGTGTGAGTGAAAACTTAAGAAATAAATATAATAGAATTTCATCATGAGCCTATTAAGTCCCCACTGCTAGAGCACATGCCTTCCCTATGGATGGAATAGGGAGATTGGGTCATGACCCACCACGCGGGCCCAGTGCAAATTGGCGGGTCCTAACGACTGTAGATGCAGCCGGGACCAATGGCTTAACGTACCTCCGTCACGGAGGAACTCAAGATAGAAGATTTTTGGTCACCCATTCAGTGACCGACCGCTGCGAGAGTTGCTTAACTTCAACGATCGCAGCCGAGCGCGCTAACCACCCGCGCCATCGAACTCCTCCTCGAGATAATAATTTTTGTAAATCTGGAATAGCAACAGCCCTAATGACACGATGTATGGAGCCGAGTCGAGATTACCCGTTTATGAATCCGAGACAAATTCTGCATGTAATCTTTTACAGAGTGTAACGGCTAAGAGATACGGTACTTGTGAACGCACGTCGACATTGCAAGTGCGTTAGTCAACTCGTAGATTTTTCTAAGAAATCAACAGGTCAATTTTACTTGACAGTTTTTAATTGTTACATTTATGAAAATATAATATACTAGTGGCCCGCCCTCGCTTCGCTTCGGTGTAGAGCTGAAGTGTAGACTACAGTTTTAGTTCTCAGGCTTGTATTATACACAATAACATTCATCTATGATTCTTCTTATACCTGCATGCAAAGTCTCAGCCCGATCGGTTTAAAATTGACAAAGTTTCATACAAACTTTCATTCCCTATTTTATCCCCTTATGGGTAGAATTGATCAAAATCCTCTCTTAGCGGATGCCAACGTCATAACTTCTATCTGCATGCCAAATTTCAGCCCGATCAGTCCAGTGGTTTGGGCTGTGCGTTGAGAGATCACTATGTCAGCCAGTCACCTTTGAGTTTTATATATATAGATGATAATAGCTATTAACGGGATTGTTACCATGTAATTGTAGATTATATTTCTACGTCCATTTTTGGTGAAAAGTAACCAAATATACTTACTTAAAATTTAAGGAGACGCTAATGATTTAATGATGGAATTTAAACACTGTTTATATGTATTGAAATGAAAACAATAAAATCAGTACCCTTAGTACGAGTGGGAGCTCACGGAAACTATCATAGTTTTCGTAATTGTAAAACTCGTACTAAGGTTCAGAACTTTACCCTAGCACGAACCAATATGGAATTCGAATAGTTTGCGAGTCCGAACTGTCATTGTCAAATTTTGTATGAAAACTTGAACAGCAGCGCCACAAAGGACGTAAAGAGAACTAAAAACCAATACACATTTGACAATGACATTTCGGACTCGATTTCGATTAGGGGTACCAGTACCCTTAGCATTAACCAATATCGAATTTGAATAGTTTCATCATCATCATCGGCCTATTAATGTCCCCACCGGTGGGGCACAGGCCTTCCCTATGGATGAAATAGAGAGATTAGGCCATGACTCACCATGCGGGCCCAGTGCGGATTGGTGGGTGCTAACGACTGCAGATGCGGCCGGGACGAACGACTTAGCGTGCCTTCCGAAGCACGGAGGAGCTCGAGATAGTAAATTTTTGGTCACCCATCCAATGACCGACCACTGCGAAAGTTGCTTACTTCCACGATCGCAGCCGAACGCGCTTACCACTTGCGCCATCGAGCTCCCCTTCGAATAGTTTGCGAGTCCGAAACGTCGAATAACGATATGAATTCAAAATTGGTTCGTGCTATTGTTTGACTCTAATTTCAGGATGAGAACTACCCTTTTTTACTATGTAATCCCTATATTATACTTATAGGTATGGTCGCTGCTTGACTAACATAGTTAAAAATATATAAACCTACCTAATGTAAAAATTAAGGATAATAATTGAAGAAACTCTGATTTTCCTTTTACCAACATACATTATTATTTACTGAATCATTTTATGGATTATCAGGACGCCACCACAAAAACATCATACACAAAAGTAGCTAATATAATAATTGCCAATCCTTATATATCTATCTCTAATATATAAAATTTTCGTGTCATGGTGTGCGTAATTGAATTACTCCGAAACCACTCGACAGATTTTAGTGAAATTTTATATGCATATTCAGTAGGTCTGAGAATCGTACAAAATCTATATTTCATCTCCCCATCCCCGTAAATGTTAAGGGTAAAATAAAAACAAAAAATTTTGTCCCAAAAAAAAATATTTAAGGACCTCAAATTTATTTTTTGGACTTTTTTTTTGTTTTTATTTTTTTATGATACATCATACAAAAATATATACAACCTAAAATATTTACCATTCTACCACCAACCTCTATTTTTTATGGCTGCACGAAGTTCGCTAGGTCAGCTAGTCCTAATATAACATTACTAGCAAACCAGTGAACCAAATGTTCACCAAAATCTGATTTAAAAAAAAAATGTATTTAATTAATTGAGAACTTCGGAGATTTTGTGTGGTTTCGTTTGAAATTCGTAATTTCTCGAAAACCGGAAGTGTTACGTTACTCAAATCCGGTTTGTAGTCTTTTCTACTATTCTTAACTTATAACTTTAATATTCTCTTTATCTATCTCTTACGGTTTGGCCGCTGAAACAGCACCACGGACAGACGGACTCGTCTAATAGATAAGAGATAAATTCCTCTTTCTCATTCAAGTTATATGTCCAACTCTTTTACTCTTCAAGCCATACGACTGGGGAATGACCTACCGACACAATTAGAAGATCTCCTAGCAAACTTATATTTCAAAATTTAAACCTTTATTAATCGTCATCATGTATTTATATATGTATGTAAAATACTCCATCAGTCATTTTAGGCTTAATTTAAACAAAAGTTCCAAAACGAAAATGAAAAGGTTACTCTTTTCATTTCGTCAATTTGAGGTTAAAATTTCGAACAATTAGATGTCAAATTCAACTTTTAGTTTGAGGCATTGTCCTAATACAACGCGATAACGCGATCATCGCGCGTTTAAGCGATGCGACCGCCGCGTGATCGCGAACTGGGTGTCCTAATAGAACGCGAATACGGAACGGGTTAGCCCTGCCCCTCTCCCCGCTTCCTATCGACGCGACGCGATCATCGAGCGAACTTCAGTTAGGACACTTAATTATCATTAATAGGTTTGATTGCGCGTTCGCGCGAACTAAGATCGCACGAATAGATTTTAAAAAATTTTAGTCGCGCTAATGCATCGCGCGATCGCCTATTAGGACACCTATTCTAGATCAATATGTTTGATCGTCGATTCGTACTATGATCGCATCGCTCATTCGCGTTATCGCGTTGTATTAGGACAATGCCTGAAAGTTTTGTGAATTAGAGTAGGCTTGGAGAATTTAGTTGTCAAACTATTTTCGGACGAACGAATTTTCAAAATGAAAAGGAAACAGAGTAAGAAACGTGCGAAATTTCGATCGGAATTTAATTTTTCGTTGAAATAGAGTTGAGTCGCTGCTCAACACGCATTATACCTAAATGCTTCAACTAAATCATTATTATCAGTACGCAGGCCCATGCGGATAGGTGGGTGCTAACGACTGCAGATATAGCCTGGAGCAACGGCTTCACGTGCCTTCCGAAACACGGAGGCGCTCGAGATAATAAGTTTTTGGTCACCCATCTAATAACCGACCACTGCAAAAGTTGCTTAACTTCAACAATCGCAGCCGAAAGCGCTAACTGTTTGCACCAACGACTTTCTCAGTAGGCAGTTAACATGACTGTATGGATTGTAACATCCATTTGAAACAATAACGCTAAATCTCAATCCAACTAAAACTAAATTTAGCCCATACAGTAGTTTCAAACTGACATTGACGTTTCGGTAATTTTCTATGGTTTAAATCTAGTTTTAGTTGAATCGAGATTAGCAAATTTGCTGCAATCGTGCTCCGCAGTTATGTAATAACGTTTTATATTGAACTTGTCATTGGGTAAATGTATATTTTTACA